CAACTATCCAAAAAATTCTAAAACAATATTAAAACCTTTCTCCATTATCGTAGCATCTACAAACCTTTTTGTAAAGTGCTACAAAGATCTAGCATTAAAGTCTTATCTTCCGCTGCGGATTCACTTGTAGGCTTCTTGTTTCTCAACAACTATGTCTTTGATTCAATAACTTGAGGTTTTTACAGTTTGCTTCGAGAATGAAAGATCTAATTGACCTAAGTATAATATCATGGTAATCATCTTATTCAACTCTATCCAACCACATATAAATAAGTGGAAGATTAAACTCATCCGAATAATTTTCTGTATTCTTCGATTTAAAAGTCATAAAGCGTTATTTTGATTCCGAATCATTTTATGAGTTTTTCTTGATGCTACAATGAGAAACTTGAAATTAGAATAGCATCTTTTAAAACGATAGGCATCGAAAAGAGAGCTGTATGATAAATTTTATTTTAAACTAATATATTTCGTCTACTTTTATGATTTTCAATAAATTTTGGTTCAATATCACTCTTATTAACACAATCAAACTTGCATAACGCTTTACATATATATTCTTTTGTTGACTAGAGAAAACGAATAATACACAAAGAGTTTCTTGATTGTTTGTTTTGTGACTTCTTTGAATAGCAATGAGACATCATCAAGTTAAAAGTATAACACTAGATCATAAGAATGAAAATATAAATGTTGATGATAGTCGATTTAAGAAAGAAAAGTTTACTATGTTGATCTATTGGTCAAAGATGTGGATATAGAAAATTCCTTTGTAACAAGCAGGATAATAGTGACATATTCAAATTTTCTTTCTTCATAAGATTGGTGATTCAATTTAATCTTATACTGTTCGCTTTGAATAAAAACTCAAGAAACAAGACTGAGTATAGATGTAGCTGCAGTAAAATCAGCACCCACTCCCACTCCCACACCCATGCCTACACTCCACATCTCACCCATACCCACATCCTTTTTCAATCAATTGATTTCATGTTCATCTCGGACAAAATCTCAGAGCATGACTAGACGAGATCTGATCTCTATTCTCTGTAGTTGGTCATAGTCGTGCAGACTACTGGGTCAGGAAGCAATCGAATGGAACAATATTTGCCAATAGTGCTTGTTTGCTCTCATGACACTTCCAACTACTCAATGATCCATTTCACTTGTGAATCTCAATTGATGATAATTCAATAATCTTTATTAGACAACATTCTTAATAAGTATTATTTCTGTTCAACAAAGTTCAAATAGTAGATGATCATTGCTTGTTGGACACAGTATTACACTAAAATAAGACAATCAACTATTGAAATCGATTCAAAAACTGACCTTTTCTGTTGTTCGATGTCAAACACAGTCACTTGTCGAATGAGTTCTCGATTTCCACCAGTTGCACTTTTCAAGGAGATGGCAACTGAAGTGATGTTTCCTACTGGTTCATTTACTGGAAGGACTCGTGTTATTTCACTGTTCGCTTGGAGTAACAAACTCGACTGTCTGCTATAAAATAGTCAAAGGCATTAACTTTGAAGAACTACTCACTTATCAAAGACAATTGAAGACGATCGATGATCGGATCCTTGTAAAGTCACTTGAAGACGACCGATCGTGTATACTCTTGTATCGCCGATATTCAATGTCACCGAATAGAGGTGTTCTAAATCAATGATCTTTACAAAGAATATTGATTTAATGAGAACATACGACAGTAAGGCAATTGATCAGCATCTTGTGTCGACAGATAAAATGTTCCTTGTGGAAATGGCAAAGCGTGAAAACCCATTCGATTGGTTGGATTTTGATTGCATTCATCAGAATATTTCAATTTGTCCATTGATGAACATGCGAGAGACAAATAAGAACAGTTCGAATTGCGAATCGAATCAGTAAACGTGTATACCGAAAACAGATGACTGCACAACACCGAATTGACAAAACCTTGAACAAAAGTCAATTGCTCAACAAAAAGTTTTGTTCAATGAGAAAAAATTCCTACCTTCATTGTTAAAGGCATTTAGAATAGTGTTGAAAATTTTCCCTGTCATTTGAGGACATCGAGGTTGTTCGAGCCCTCCATTGGGATAGAAATCAACATGACCCAATGGCTGCAAGAGACCAAGACCAAGTTGAACATGAGCTTGTCCATCGGTATGAATGATATCAACGAAGCGAGCGTCACTTGGATCGAGACGTACTCGAGGATCAGTTGATTCAAAGTAGGGTCCCGCAGGATCGAGTCCCGTGATACGACTCAGTTGAGGAGAGATTTTTGATCCAGCATAACCTGCTGCATGTGCTCCCAGACTATGTCCGATAATATGAATCAGAGATGGATCTGCTTCATGATCAGAAATCAATTCGTTGATCAATAAAGACACTTCAGCTCCTACAATTTGAGTGTTGGCTGTTGCTTGTGTGTACGGAAAATGATTTGTTTTCGACCAGTCAACAAAAATCACATTGCTATCTTCCTATATTTGCGCAAGAATGAATTCATAAACATAAAATAAGATCACTTACAGCATCGAGTAAAGCTTGTCGCATATCCTTGTACCAAACTGCTTCAAAAGTTTCGATCATTCCATGAATAACAAAACGGGTCATTCGTTGTGATCGCCACGTGCCTAGTCCCTTATTGGTCTTTTGTCGGCCGATTTCTACCGCCAAACGATGTTCTCTTATCACAAACAGACTCAATTATTATCTCCTTCATTTACTTAGGACATACCAAAAGTTTGTAGAGTGATACCTTAATACCTTATGATAAGCTTTAAGTAACTTTCTTTCTATATAGTCTGATAAAGAAAAAAATGCTTTATTTTTCTATGCTATTTGATCGTATTTCAACTAATATAATA